TACAACATTTAAACCTTGGCAAGCCACTGTTCAAATTGTTGGTCTTATTCCAGTTATGAGCTCCAAGTATATCTTCATTGTAATGGTATTAATACTCCATTGATAATATCCTATTCTCTGCTTTTGCTGTTAATGTGCTGCAGAATATATACTTGTGTATCCTAAATGTGATGTTAATACATAAATCATATTTTTAAAAAGTACAACAAGCAACATTTGTTGGAAAGCAGATAATAATGAATAATACAGTTAGCCACAGTTAACACATTGGGTAGTTTTCCCACATTTACAACTATCCTCATAATTTCTCTGTTCAGTGAGTTAGTGGTGTTTCATCAGAAACCCCGACCCAGCCAGAATGAAATTCACCGTTTTTTAGAAACCTAGAACAAAAGAGAATATACTACCTTTTTCACTAATCTACTCCAGTCTCTAAGAACTTTCTCTTACAAGAATGCTTCCTTGGGCCTGAGCTTTGCCATTCCTTGATAAAGTCATTCTTTTTAATTCTATCCTTAGTGGAGGCAGAGAAGAGTAAACAATTTTTCTTCGCAACATAGGCAATAAATATGCATGCCATTATGTTAATAATAAATATCTCATGCCCATTATTTAAGATAAGGAACCTATTAAAGTCACCGACTTATTTACCACAAGGCATATAAAAAGGGAGACAAGGGCAGAGATAAGACTCTTTTGTCTGACATAGTAATAGGCCATTCATACCTTTCCTAGAATTATAGTTGCCATTTTGAATATAGTTATTCATGATGACCAATTCATTTAGGATTAAAGAGTATATTCTACAGTAGATAGTAGACCTTCGATGTTCAAATCTCTTAAAAAGAATTTTTACAGTTGCACAAGGACATTATTCATGGCTACAAAAAAATAGAGACAAGATTTCTTTCTTGTAAATGTTTTTATCCTTGGCTTTATCTAGAAAGTTTCTTTTTAAATGGCTGTATTGTTCAGAAATTTTGTTTCTGTACCTGCATTAGTAGCCTTTCCTTCTCTTATCTTGTTTTTCAAGGCAACAGACACAATTCTATTTGTTAGAACTGAACCAGAATGTTCAGGGCCCAAACAAATCTAACAATTAATAAGGAAATAAAGAAAATAACAGATTTTTAAAAAGCAGGGAATGTGAAGCACATAGTATTCTGTTTCTATAATAATAATAGATTTCTTGGGGGGGAGCAGAGAAGCAAGAGGATTCTTCTGGTGTTTGCATAATAAGAGTTAAATAATAAAGATAGATAAATATAATGGACTCATGTGTTAACAGTTAAAAACAACGTCAGTGTATAAAAATTTGTTATTCCAAAGCTTTCTTTAAAGAAAACCATTTTGTTATTGGGTTCATTCTACCTATTTATCTTCCCAATACACTACATACTAATGACTATTTAGTATTATTTACATCATCATCACCATAACCATCAAATATTTATTGAATACCCAGAGTGAGTAGCGTATACTTAGCAATATTATTTTACACTAAAGTCGACTCCTGGAAATTTCAAATTAAAAAATTAAAAGCAACCAGAAATCTCCAACAGCAAATGAGAATTTGGGAGCAGTTGGGCAGAAAACATTGGGGGATACTGAAAAGCATGAAGTGTTAGGAAGGCCAGAAAAGAAAGACAATTTTTTTTTGTAGTGAAGATTGTCCTATTTGCAGATGACCCTACTCTACGTAACAGCTCCTGTTCATTTCCTTCCATAATTGGACATCTTCTCTGGGTGCCTTGAGAGCCAATAATAATACAATCTGAGGAAGGAGTTTTAGAGGGTTCAAAAATAAAGGGAGGGAAAACTAGCGAAAGACAGGGACGGTTTTGAGAAGATCCCAGGTAAACTCAGTCCTTAAGTGGCACTTCCCTTAGTGACGTCAGCCCCACTCAAGGTCTTGTTCTCCTTTTACAAGATCAGAACCCTAATTTTTGTGGGCATCAGAAGCAGATCTGTTACAAACACATATAATCTAGCTCACATAGCTCATTTCGGCAATGCCTTATGGGTAATATACATGGGAAATCAAGGTGTCAGATAGTTACTTGGTACTTGGGAATCAGAATAAAGGGAATTAGTTGATCTACTGTGAAGCGTTTCTACCCAATTTAGTGATAGCCTTACCAAGGACACCAACTCTGCATTGCCAAGATTCTCTCTTCTGGGCGGTATTTGAATGGACATTGTCTGCTTCTGGGACTCGTTGTCCTATTCTTTGTTATGTGTAACCAATGTCTGCCTGATACAAAGGTATTTTACCAACCAGGACAAAGTAATCACCTAATACTACAAAGGTAACCAGATACAATACAGGACACCTAGTTAAATTTGAATTTCGGTTAAACAATAAGTAATTTTTAGTAGCAGTATGTCCCAAATATTTTTATTTACTAAATCTGGCAACCCCAAAACTGCCTTCCTAAGCTTCCCTGCTTGTAGTCTTGGGTGTTCCCAAACTCTTTGGATGCATACAGTATTTTGCTTTACCCATAAAAGGCTAATAATGTTCATTATGTGGATTTACCGATTTGACTTTTAGAGTACAAATTTCTCTGATTTACAATTTGTGTGTGTGTGTGTGTGCTGGGTGGAAGAGTGGATCTTGTTATTACTGATATGTACCAGCAGCAGCTGCTGAGATCAATTGCATTAATCAAAGTTGTTTAAAGTAATATAAACCATTTCAGGAAGGCTAAAGGACTAGTATAAATGAATTTGAATAAGAGCCCTTTACTTTTACTACGTAGCTGAAATAATTTATATTGGGAAAAAAAAAAGGAAATAGGAATCCTATTTTAGGAGAGGGGAATTGTGGAGAATGAAAAACTTTGTAAGGTAAGTGTGGGGAGTGGGGTTCTGTAGTGGGGACTTAAAGTGTCATGCATCTCTAAGGAGGAGAACACTATGATGTTAGAGAGGGAGCAGGGAGATGTCAAAGAAATTTTGTGTGTAGGACTGGCCCTGGACATGTCAGGACCTGGAACCCTTTCCTCTCGCTGTCTTCTGTTTGGTCCTCTGGTCTGACCTCAATGATTAGGTGGTGGTGGTTTTCTATGTCCATTTTTTAAATTAAATTTATTGGGGTGACATTGGTTAATAAATCAGGTTTTTTTTTTATTAGTACCATACTACATACATTGTTTTTATGAGGTATGCTCTGAGTTTCAAATAGCTCACTTACAAATAAGCTGTTGAAACACAACTTAGTTGGGCTCTGTGTGGCTTATCCACCTGATGAGTATTGAATCAGCATAAGGCCATGTCACAGTATACTGAATGACATTGTATTACATTGAATACACATCAAAAACAGATCTTATAGATTCAATTCAATTCAATTCAATCACATTCAACAACTATTTGTTGACTACCTTTCTGGAAATACAAAGACGATATATTCTAAAGAGGGATGGAATAGGTAAGATAACGGTGCATAATTGTGCCTTGTGTTAGGTGTGGGGGTCAAAGTTGAAGACCTTTTTTGACTGACTTCAAGTTGTTTACCAATAACTACAAAATGGGACTAAGACAACTATTATAAAGAAAGGAAGTACTAAGTACAAGAGATAGTGTATGTAGAAAATGCTTTGTAAATATAAAGTGTTGTGGGGTTGTTATAGAATGGGCCGTTAGAGTCCTGACAATCCTTTTTACCTACAATTAGGAGTAATAGAAAAAGGAAACTGAGTTCTTGAGAGATTCACGAACGGAGGTCATGAATTCTCGGTGGCCACATTAGCCTAAGACGTTGGCAAGTTACATAGCCCTCAACCTCAACTTTCTCCCCCAGACTAATGCAGATTACCAAAATACATCTTTCAGAGTTATTGGGTAGATAAAACACGTAGTGGCAAAGCACCTAGCATTTTGCCTAACCGGAGCAAGGGCCCAATAACCCGTATTTCTTATTAGCATTTACATTCAGCTTCTTCTCTGAGCGATTGAAAAGGGAACACTTGTGTAGGGCTACTTTACAGGGTCCTATTTAGGGGCACAGCTCATCATTAGTTTCCACAAGGAACATCTTGCAGCCTCCCACTTGCGCCCCTTGCTCTAACCAAGGACCAGAGAAATTCAGTCTTCTAGCGAAAACGGTGCCAGGTCTCTTCTCCGTAGGCGCTGTGGGAAAGCCGTGGCAGAAGCCCAGGTTGCGAAGAAGGACCGCAGGGCAGGGGGTCTCGGGGAGTCTCAGGCATCCGGCTCGCAGCAGGACCCGCCCCGGCGGCTCTGTCCCTAGCGCGGGGGCAGAAGCGGGGGAGTGGGCGCTGAGGGGCGTGGGGCGACCGCATCTGGTGTCAGTGCCAGTGGAGCCGGGGCGGGCACATCTTACCTCCGCCCAATCCCCAGCCTTAGCCGCGCCCTCATGAATAAGCAACAAAGCGAAGCGCCCTCCCCCTGGCATCCCAGACAGTGGAGCCGGCCGCCACCGCTGCAGGGGCTGCCGCGGGGATGCAGAGCGCGGGCGCCACCGCTCTCCGCGCACTGCTCGGCTGAAGGCGCACAGGTGAGGACCCGCCCGGCTCCTGCCACTCGGGCGGCCGCGGCTGCAAACCGGGCACTGGGGCAGAGACGAAGCCCGAGCCTCGGGCGGCGCGGGGTCGCCCCGGGAGCGATGCAGTCTGGGGAGCGCGGCACTCCGGGGCGCGCCAGGCGTGCGCCCTGCGCCCTCGCCGAACGCGGTGCCCGGCGCTGGGTGAGCAGGAGCAGCTCTTGGCGCGCTGGGCGCCGCGCGCAGGCCTCGGAGGACACGCCACACTCCTTGCTCCAGACCAGCCAGCCTCACGGCTCCGCACCAGCGAGCGGGCCTTTGTGCTGGCGGAGCTTGCAGGGCTGGCTGCTTTTGTGTGGGCTTTTCTTTCTTTCCTCTTACCCTCTCAAGCTCACAGCGGTGATAGAGAAGTTCCCTAAGACTGTGATTTGCTCCTTCCAAAGCATCGATCACAATGTTCCCGACGCCAATCAATGCCCAGCAGCCGAGGAGCGAATGGGGGCTGCGGTGGCCACCGAAATGTGTTCTGTTACTTTTCAGAAAACAAACAGTTGAGTGTTTAGCGCAGAGATGTCACTGAATCTCCTTACTCAGACTCTGGCCAGTCCCCCAGGGGACAGCAGGAGGATGGCCCTTGGAAAGGTCACTTAGTTTGAAAGAGGGCCTGCTGGTTAGACGCAGAGGAGCTCAGGCTGTGCCTGAGACTTCAGAATGGTTGTTGGGAGGTGCTGTCTGGAGCTTCCCAGATGTCGCCTGTGCGTCCTGGTCACAGACAGAACCTGACCCGTGTAGATTCTGAACATGTAGAGCCCTGGCTGGCAAGGAAGCAGCCAACGTCTCTTAAGAGTTTGGAGTTCTCAAAGATGATAAATATGGTTTCCAGGCTGATCTCGGGGATCTGCTAGGATCTCGGCACTTCCTTTCAGAGCAGAGCTGATGTGGAGGAGAGGAGAGAGTCTGCTTTAAGGTGTGTCTGCCGTCTTTCTTTGGAAGTTTTAGTTTGAAACTTAAGGGGAAGAGAGAGTGGTTCATATAACCATAGAGCTCTGTTGGATTTCTTCTATAGAGAGCAAAATGTGTGGCCAGAATTTGCATGCCTTTCTCTCCTTTTTGTGTATTTCCCTGACCAAAAGTGATGCTGTTGGGCTCCAAGGAGTCTTGTTGAAGCCAAGCGCCCACAGATTCACAGACCGACTTGCTCACTTGTGGGCAGAACCCCACTGTAGCATCTATTGAAAGAAACTGAAAACAGGTGAGGTTTCATGGAATCGGAACATTGCTACTTACTTTTACATGGAGTAGAGACTTAAGTGTAGTCTGATTTACTCTTATAAATAAGGTAGAGTTGTTATATTTGTCCTAATAATGAACTAAGCACTTATGCAGCAGACTTGATATTGATTGCATTTATTCACAAAATTCCCAAGACTCATCGTGTCTAATGTAGCTACAGCAACAGAGCTAATTAGGGAGATGTGGATTTGTCTTTGTTTTCATGAGAAGCTTCTTACTTTTATATTCTGGCAATTCCTGCTAGACTTTTCAATATCATAATTTGGCATTACAGAAATGATTTGATGCTAAATATTAAAGGAGGAAGATGGGCTTACCTGTTATGAAAAATTTACTCTTTTTAACTAGAGATGTACTTCATTATTTAGCAGATGTTTGCCTGAAAAGTTGTGTATGGAATTGCATTTTCGTTCATTGAATTTTGTTTATTCTCACAACAAGAAGCTGGCAGTTTCAAGGGAACTTGGGTTTAATCTCTGTAAAATGAAAACTTATTCCCTAATTAAGATGTGTTGTCAATCTTGTTTTTTCGTATTGTGTTTACTTGGTGATTATAAGAAAAGTGTCTGAATCACGTTTCAGGTTGAAGTGTTAGATATTATTATGTTTGTTCCTTGAAATGTCTACCTGGGAATTACCTTCTCCTTAAATGTCAGCTAGAACTTAGAGATCTTGTCAAGCAAATAAGGTTTGTGGACCACAAAGAAAAGGAATGAAGTGTCAAATTGGGTCATTGAAAAGAACTGTGTGATGGATGGACAAGAGCTTGTTGACCAAGATTGATTAGGACAGGATTCTGCGAACATCAGATGATTCCCAGGTCACTGTGTCTACGTGAGAAGCTGAAAGGGGAGGCTCCGTGGAAATAGCTAGGGGAAAAAAGGATAGTATGGATACTTCAAATTGCTCACATTTCTGTAGTTTGAGGAGAATGCATATCAGTATCACACTAATATGTCTTAAATTGTATGCTACCTAAAACTTTTTCTTCAAGCCATTTTCATGTCTATGATCATTTTTTTTGGGGGGGGGGGTCTCTCTTCCACCCTTTGAAGAAAGCGGAATGAGCATTATTATCTCCATTTTGCAATAAAGAAAATGAGTTTCAGCGATTTTTTTTTTCCTAAGGTAAAGCTGGAACTTGAAGCCAGTTTTTAAATCTTCAAGTCTAACTTCTTTTACCAGGGATAGGATAATGTGATAGGGGTGATAAGCACAGACATCTTCATTTGTCTACATTACTAAATTGTAGAGAATGAAGCTTGTGGGCTCAATATGTGGAACTTAGCTGTGGTCTGCAAAGCGCTGTGCTGGTAGCTGCCGTAGTAACCATCTTGACCCAGCCTACTTTCCCTCTTCCCTGTCAGCACTGATGCTGTTTCCTCCTGGGTGAACCATTCTTTTCTTTGTGGTTACTCTAGTCTCCCTCCTTCCTCTGTGGTCAAAAATGCTTCTGAAAGGATCATCTGTCATTCCAGTTACTTAATTTATAGTGAAGGATGACTGGGGCCAGATGATCTTAAAACCAATATATCAGGCCAGTGACAGTTGTCAATAGGACAATGAATCAGAAATGAGGTACCCTAATGCTGTGTGCTACAGTTGGATTAATAGGGTCAGAGTCTTGATAAACTCGTCTTTGGACAAGTGAAATAGTATTGGCAATGAGGGCCTTCAGTATTAAAACAAAAGAGATAAGACGATGACAAATTATTAAGAATCAGGAAAAACACAAAAAGGAAAGATTATAAAGACAAATGAAGAAGAGAAAGAGTCTCCTTTTCCCTTTATCAATCACTGAATCACTGATTGGATTTTAAAAGATGAGATGGTAATTGGGAAGCAAGTCGACCTGAGGCTCTGAGACTTGTCACTTGTTACTATTGATCTATTTTTTAAAAAGAAAACAGATGCTGAAAAACTAAAATATAGCATAAAGGAGAATACATAAATTATTACTATTATTAAAATGACACATTTAATAGGAAGCCCACATTGGCTAGGCGATGAAGAAAACATACAATTAGACAGTGGATAGACCATGAAATGGCACTGAAAATCTTATAATCTAAAATGGAGACTCTACACATTCTTTTTCATATTCTTAAATGGTTATTTGTACTTCCTTCATGCTAGCAAATATTTACTGAACACCTCCTCTATGTGCCTACCATTATTAGCAATTATATGGCAAACAGAGGAAGCTCAAAGATCAGTGTTTGTGTGCAAAGAACATAATCTTATTGTGAGGTGACCAGACCTACAGATATGATGATTTGTGCTGGAGAAGCTGGGAGAGGGGTGGGAAGAGAATGGGTGAGTCAATTTTGTGACAGAAGTTAGTAAACAGGATGTGACCTGGGGGCCAAGGTTTGGATACCTGTGGTAGGAAAGAAGGAGGGAGCTCAGACTAGTGTGGTGTCATCAGCAAAACTTACAAACCTGAAATGAGTATGGTGCAGAAGAGGGCAATATACCCAGCTGGTGATGGTGTCTGTACTGGGTACTAGTGCTATAGGGTTGCATTGCAGATATGGAGTTTGGCAATCCTAGGTTTGGGGACATTAAATTATGTGTTCTGAGAAGGCAGAGAGTTGTAGTGGCGAAAACGGGGAACTTGAAGTCTGACAGAATGCACAAGTTCAAAAACAGACACGATTACATAGGCAAATTAATTATAAGCCTGTAGTTTTCTCATCTAAAAAAAATGTGGATAATGGTAGTACCTATCTTACTAGATTGTTATTAGGATTAAATAAGATAATTTCTATAAGACATTTACAACATTTGGCACATAGTATCCCCTAAATGGTAGCCATCTTTATTTTAGTATATGTGCTGCCAAGTGAGTAGCCATTTTTTATTGAGTATTGTCATTTTTATTCTTAAGAATAAACCATCTGGATTGTATAAAATGGATTAGAGAGGAGAGAGTCTGAAAAAGATCATCAATTTAGAGGCAATTAAAATAACAATCCAGTGATGTGACAAGAAGGGACAATTCTAAGAGATGTCATGAGGAAAGGATCCACAGAAGTTGTGAATCCAGAATGTGAAGGAGAGAAGAGGTCAAGATGACACCAAAAGTACAAATGAAGAAGATGGTATGTTTCAGGTGGCATCCAAGTAACTTACAGTAGACAATGAAAATCTAAGGTTAGGCAGGTTTCTTTCCAAAAACCTCACACCAGCTATTTATGTATGGTATTTGTATTTATATCGAGAAAAGGAAACTATCAGGCAGATGGTCATTACTTTTTTGGCATACTTTACAGCCCTCCTGTGTCTTGAGCAATTCTTAGGGTAATGCTCATATTTCTTATATATTATACCTGGAACTCAATTTACTTGGAAAAATGTAGCTTTGTTGCTGCTATGTTTTTAACATGCTGGTTCCCTTTTCTGTCTCCTTTTGGGTAACGCACTAAACAATAGCAGTATACATTTTAGTTGGAAAAACAGTGACCAAGTGTTTAAAAAAACCTGATTGTTAAGTCTAACAAGACAGCTAAGGCTGTATCTTTTATGTTGTCATTCATTTGTCTTTGAAACTTGAATATGCTTAGACTTGACAAAGAAAAAGAATCTGGACTGTGTCTTTTTCAGATTGTCAAGATAATGCTTGACAGGACAGTTTATCTGCCCACTGGGGGCAGAAATGCAGTAAATTGTTCAGAGGACTGCTGAGCCATTAGGATACCCTGATAGCGACTGAGAGACAAAGTGCTACTGACTTGCTCTGAGAGAGATGCTTTTTAAGCTATTAGAAGCTAATATCCACTATCGGTTAGCAATTTCGTTAGAATTTATTTATCTGAATTATTTGCCCTGACGAATATAGTGAAGGAGAAACAGCATTCAAACTCACAGTGTGAAGGAAAAGTTAGAGAGATGTTCTTTTGTTTGTTAAATATGCTTATGTTTGAGTTGATTTAAGATAATTGAGACACAGAATTCTAATAAGCAGTGAAATCTCTTCCTCTCCCTTCCTCAGCAAAGGGGACTATATGCATTCATTTGTTTGTTCAGCCAGTATTTACTGAGCATTTCCTCTGTGCCAGGCACTTGCCAGGGAGGGGATATAATGTTGAGGGGAAAAAAAAAGGTCTTCAAAATATGATTGCAGATGGTTATTTAGGTTTAGAAATATTGTGATTGAATTGACAATGGTCAGTCTTTTCTTATTTATTCTTATTTTATTTATTATTTATGTCATGCAACTCCCGGTGGGGGTCACCAAGCTCATGCCTATGTGAACTTGTACTGTGCTTTGAAAGATGGAAAAAGACCTGGAACTTGAAGGTCATCTACCAATTTCTCTGAATTGCAGACATGTTCCCTGCTGCCATTTCTATAGGCTGTCTTTTCTGCTTCTTTAAAGTTCAGACATCTTTTTGAATAGCGGGGAGGAGGAGCATATGGCTGGAGCACACAGACGTAGAATAGGCTAGCAGTTCACCCTCACTTTTTTGTTGTAATTAGATTTAGAAAGCAGGTGGCCAACACTTAATTACAGAAGGAAAGTCTTTTAGAGCAATGGCAGAATTCCCTTCACACAAACATTCTAAAGCTCAAGATCTAGATGAAAATAAAACCTTGAAGGAAGATTATGTTTCCGATACGCAATTGAGGTTATATTAAATCTTTATCATTTGCACCCCTCCATCTGATTTCATCATAAAATTATATTCTCTGTCCACATGACTCCAGAACATATTAAATAAAATATTAATTCATTCAGTTAATCATTCCTTCAATTATTTGGGTGCCTTGACTGCTTGATGACAAAACTGTGAGAATATGAAAATATTTGTATTTTTATTTAATATCTTGTAGATAAAATATGAAAATGGAATAATGGAGGTAGAAGGATTTCAAAGATTATTTTAATTCTTCCTTTTGTCAAAGGAGAAACTGAGGCCATTTGCCCAGTATCTCATAGCAAGTTTTAACAGTAAAGTTAGGATTCAGGAATCATTTTTCTGTTGCCAGTCCATGTCCCTCTAAACTTTACTGCCACTCATGATGGCCTGTTTTTTTTCAAGTTTTTATGAGAAGCATGGGATCTAGTAGACTAAGCCATTAGGCCACATCCTCCATTTTCTGGAATGGTTAGTAAAATTTCACTGAATGGAAAAAATATGTGTTTGGGAAAGGGCAGTTCTCTGAACAGCTTGGGAGTAACCAGAGTTCTATTGCTTTTACATATCTTCGACTACAATTTCATAGTTCAACTTGTCTACACAGAAATCTAAGGTGTAATGTCATCAACTCTGAGGACTCTTGCTTTACAGCTCTCATATATTTTTGTTTCAAGGAAGGGAAATAGAGGTGGCAGGCCAAATACTGTTAACAAATCTGTTACCTGGCTATGAACTGGGGTGTTTTATGGCTCATCTAAAGTATAGTGATAACTAGTGGCCAGAATGTTGACATGTCGTTCCCTCTTTGTCAAATATCTTTCCCATATTCTCTCCATTTAGAACAATGCTAGCTACCTATATGTAATTTAATATTTAAATAAAATTGCTTCAAACCCTCATCCTACATATGGGGAAATTTAGCATCCTTCTCAGTATCTCTGAAGATTCTTGGAGTGAGGGACAGTGGCTTATGTTTCTTCTAGACACCTCTGGCTTCAATTTTCTTCTGCTGCTCAATTTATGATCCTTGATATGCTCTTTTTCTGCTTATGACACCATGGCACCTCATGACATCAGCCCATTCCTATATTCTCCTAAAGTACTGTGGATTTAAGATTTCTGTGTAACAAGTTACCTCCAAACTTGGTGGCAATAAATGTTATTTCATCTCATTTCTGTGCATTAGGAATTTGGAATTAACTTAGCTGAGTAGTTCTGGCTCAAGTTCTCTCAAGAAGTTGCAGTCAAGATGTCAGCTGGGGCTGTAGTAATCTGAAGACTTGTCTCGGTCTGGAAGTTCAGTTTGCAAGGTGATTCATTTATGTTGTACTGATAGTTCAGCAAGATGCCTCAGCTCCGAATCCATGGATTTCTCTTTCCTCCTGTAGAAAAATTCAGCCTTCTTTTTCTCTTTAGACATGTAGGACTAAGGACTTGACCTTTTTCTCTGTCTCAAAAGGATCTATAAGACTAAATGTGATAACATGTGAAAGCTTTGAACACCTTAAGGGGAAAAGGCCTTACGAAAATGTAGAATTTTATATTTTATGTGTACACATCACTTGCTTAAGCAGATAGTTTACTGATTAGACGTGAAAGAAAGAAAAAGTTTAACTTTTATAAAGATAAGTTTTTTATTTTAGAATTTTCATTCCTAAGTTTAATTTTCTAGAAAACCTGCAGCATCTGAGAAATTTCTGATGATGAAAAAAGAAAGGGTCCTATTCAGCAAAATAGATAAAAAGAACTAAAACCCTTAAGTTTGGGGGAAAATTAGCAGTTTTTATATAGTTTTAGGGTTAATGAGAGTGTGAATAGTTTTTTAAAGTAATACAGTGAATCTTAATTGTATAATTTATGTATATTCATTGAGAATTGCTAATTTAAAATGTGTTTGGGTTCTCTTAAAAAGTTTTTTTCTTTTAATGAATGCGTTTATTTATATTAACTCTTTTACCTTGTCTAATCCTTAAACTTTGAACATGAAGTTTTTGCCTATAATTTTAATAACTGTTGAAAGAAATAATCTAAGCATTTTAAAAATAATCTAAGCATTTTAAAAATAAAATTTAGCTGAAAATCATTAACATATTTTAAAAACTCTTGATTATAACTAGCATTCACTATTTTATGACATTTTATAAATTTTAAAACATACTTAAAAAGTTCTTTGAATGTAATGTAAGATTTACTTTCTATATCCTTGACATGTTACTATTTCTACAGTCATCTGGCTACATAATTAATAGAGGAATTTGGGAGAATATTGCAAATGTGACTTCAAGGTAGTTTATTTCAAGTAGGTATTTAAGAAACAGTGAACTTGGTACTTGAACTATGTGTACCTTTTTCTAGAGAGCATCAAGTTAAATCAACTGCAGAATTCAGCAGGGAAAAATGAACTGGGTTATCCATGTCTCAAAGGTACAAAGAAATAGAACAGTTCTCTCTTACGTACCATCTCTGAGCATGAAATCAAGAAGATTATTTTACTTATGGTTTGATTTAAAGGGGCTTATTTACAAAATATATTTATATGACAGTTGGATATGCTTTATTTTTTTGTAGGACTCAGTTACTGAAATTATCAGCGCTACCATCTTCTGTGCAAATTTCTCTTCCACTATGACAAGAACAATTGTATTGCACATTTGTCTGGCTTTCTGTGGCCTTCTGCTTCTCAACATTGTCACACAATGTCTGGCCTTCCCTCAAGTGGAAAGACGGGAGATAGCTCATGTTCATGAAAAAAGAGGGCAATCTGAGAGAATAAACACAGACGACCCAGAAAATAACTCCATTACTTCAAAGTCCACTCCCCAACCAGTGGTCTCTGAAGATCCAATGAGAGGGTTAGTGGGACCATCAGCAACGTCATTAAATAAAGTATCCCCTATTAACAAAGAAACCCATTCTATGGGAGGTGAGCTCATGCAATTCAATAGCCCTGATGTTGACATTGCTACTGAACCAGTGGTCTCAGCAGGGGAAGAAGTATTTGGCTCCAGCCAGCCAGAGAGAACGTCGCCTGAACGCTGGCTTTCCAAGGCCATGGTAACCAACCCTATTACTGCAACTGCTCTGATTATTGATGAGAAGCAGGAGACCTTCAGTAGTACCAACACTCAGCCCATTGTAGAAGGGACCACAGAAGCAACACAAGTCTTTCTGAAGTATGTGGATAATCAATTGTTTACAACTGAAAGTCAGGAAGGAGTTAGTCTGGGACATTCAACCTCATCCTTTGTGAATGCTAAAAAAAAATTAACCACCAATCCAAGGGCTGAAAAATTTGAAGCAGGCACAGAACAAAGGACAACTTCTTGTGCTGGTACTGAGCCCACAGCAGGCACTGAGTCTGGAAGCCTCCTGTCTGATAGGGAGAAACCATCACGGATGAGAGCTGATAATATCCAGGCTACTGTCACTAAGCACAGGCTTGCAAACTCTGAGTACACTCTAAGTGTTGAGCTGGAAACTGATAGCCTGCTGGGAGCCCCAGAAGTCACAGTGAGTGTCAGCACAGCTGTTGCAGCTTCTTCTGTTGTAAGTGATGAGTGGGATGACACCAAATTAGAGAGTGTAACAAAGCTTGGAGACAATACAGAAATTCAGGTGAGAATGGAAACATCTCAGACAACCCAAGTAACTGAAAATGGTGTAGAAGGTATGGAAGGGGGTGAACCTTTGACAGAGGCTGCACATAGGGCTCTGGGGCTGTCTAAAGGGGAAACACACACGGGGACAGCCCTGCTAATACCACACGAGGATAGCAGATCATCTGCCTTCATCAAGCAAAGTTCCTTTACTCCCACAACGCTGATGGAAGATATGAAAGCCTCTGTTGAAAACCTGTTTCAAAATACTGCAGGCTTCTTGGAACCCACCAAGGAAAACAATGCTATGGTTTTTTTAGAGACTACTGTTTCCATCTCAGAATATGAGTCTGAGACATATCAACCACTGGGAAATACATTTAAAGGTAAAAGAAAGAAAAACAAAATTCGTTTAATTTGGAATGTTTTAATTTAGTTTTATCATTTTTTAAAAATTGAGATATAATTGACATATAACATTGTATTAGTTTCAGGTGTACACCATAATCATTCGATATATACTGTGAAATGATTACCATAATAAGTCTAGTTAACATCTAGTGAACATCTATCATCATATAGAATTACAGGTTGTTTTTTTTCGTCTCCTGTCTGATAGGGAGAAACCATCACGGATGAGAGCTGATAATATCCAGGCTACTGTCACTAAGCACAGGCTTGCAAACTCTGAGTACACTCTAAGTGTTGAGCTGGAAACTGATAGCCTGCTGGGAGCCCCAGAAGTCACAGTGAGTGTCAGCACAGCTGTTGCAGCTTCTTCTGTTGTAAGTGATGAGTGGGATGACACCAAATTAGAGAGTGTAACAAAGCTTGGAGACAATACAGAAATTCAGGTGAGAATGGAAACATCTCAGACAACCCAAGTAACTGAAAATGGTGTAGAAGGTATGGAAGGGGGTGAACCTTTGACAGAGGCTGCACATAGGGCTCTGGGGCTGCCTAAAGGGGAAACACACACGGGGACAGCCCTGCTAATACCACATGAGGATAGCAGATCATCTGCCTTCATCAAGCAAAGTTCCTTTACTCCCACAACGCTGATGGAAGATATGAAAGCCTCTGTTGAAAACCTGTTTCAAAATACTGCAGGCTTCTTGGAACCCACCAAGGAAAACAATGCTATGGTTTTTTTAGAGACTACTGTTTCCATCTCAGAATATGAGTCTGAGACATATCAACCACTGGGAAATACATTTAAAGGTAAAAGAAAGAAAAACAAAATTCGTTTAATTTGGAATGTTTTAATTTAGTTTTATCATTTTTTAAAAATTGAGATATAATTGACATATAACATTGTATTAGTTTCAGCTGTTATTTAATTTTTCAAAAGTGACAATTTAAAAATAAGTTGTCTAAGTTTTAACGAAAAGCAACAGAAAACAAATAAAAAATATTTTATATAAAAATTACACCCAAATATAATTCCTGCATATAGACCAGTGGTATTGAACTGGGAATAATCTGTTCCCTTCCCCACATCGTTTGGCAATGTTTGGAGACATTTTTGCTTGTCACAACATAGCAGTGCTGCTGGCTACTGGCATCCAGCTAGTAGAGGCCAAGGATGCTGCTAAACATCCGACAAGCCATGGGATAGCCCCCCGACAGCAAAGATTTCTCTGAGCCAAAATGTCAATAGTGGTAAGAAACCTTGATATAGACTAATATTTTTAAACATTTTATTATGAAAATGTATAAATACAAAAGAAAATGTGAATTAGCTATATTTTTAAGTGATATAATAAACATTGTAGGATACTTATTTACAAGGTGTTGTAAACAATACTCACGTCCCTGATATTTCTTACCAAAAAGCTTTTGGTAAATATTTATCTCATCGTATTAACTGTGTGAGTTCTTTGACTTTATTTCCCCCCAAAGAAAGTCGTCTAGAAATGGGAGGGGACCAATACAGATAAATCTTTTCCGCTGACTTGATTCTGCACGTTCTACATCCTCTTGGCCTTTACATCTGTGAATGTTATGAGCTGACAAGCCTTACATTTGTTGCTGATGGATAATGTTTTTCTTTTATTATGTGTAGTTGGTCAGATAACAGCATGGGGAAGGAAAGATCGCGTAATGTGCATATATGCTCATTCCAAATTGTTTTGGCATATGTACAGCTTGTTACTTCAGCTAATTAGACTAATTAATGGAAAATATCAAATTAGTAATGTCTTTCATAAACTGTTATTGGGATTGAATTAAAATGATAAAAGTTTGAATTTTTCATGTCTAATTCATTTTTTAAAGACTGAAAGATCTTGTAAAATGTAAGTTTTCCTAGAAGCTCCCAAAAAATGTTTTGTAGTTGATTTTTTAAATTCCATGAAGAGAGTTGGGTTCACATGACCATGAAAATAATAGATATGACTGAACAAGAATTTTACTTCAATCCTCCATAACACTTTAAGATATTCCTAGAGTTATAAGTCATATAGTTCACGATTATTTATTGCACAATAGAATCCACGATTTTTATGTACTAGGCTTGCACTAACTTCTATTTATACAGCCTAAAAAGTAAAATGAATTTAGTAATTGTCTGATTATTATTTTGATTATTGAATATGTTCCTTGATTAGTATAATTGCCTCACTTAATTACAGTCTTTTAAAAGGCAACTTCTTTTTTACTTCCAGAACATAGCATGATACCTACAGCATAGTAGGTGCTCAATAAATACTTATTCAGTGGATGAGTAAATGAAGATAACTGGAATTATCCAATTTGACTGCCTGCACTGTCCAAATTAGTCAAACAGCTTCTAAATATTCTTCATAGAGAAAGGAACAGTCAAATAATTCCTCTCAATCTAATTTTTTTTTAGAGTTAACTCCCAAAGAGTTAAAAAGAATGTGAAAAGTTGAGATTATTGACACCAGAATTTAGAGAATATCCAAAAAAGCTTTCTACCCTTTTTCTGGTGGTTATAAGTACTTTTCAGAAGTAAACAACTCAAATGCCAATCATTTTAGGGCCCAAAGACTACTTAAAGCATTATTCCCTTTGGGAAATCCAATGACTACTTGGTTTAGGGGTACTATGAACCGATGAGTATCCTGAGATTATAGTCAGTCTTCTGATTTATCTTGTTCTTGTTCTTGTTCAGCTGGTTCAGTTGAAGATTAGATTTGAAAAGTAATCTACAGTAATTACATTATTATTTTTTCTCTACGGGAAATAGAAAGAATGAGAGATGTGGAGCAATTTTGAATGTTTTTTTTAAAATTTCCATTACTATTTCTAGTTCTCATTCTTCTTTCTCTAACAGCAGTCACTTCCTTATTCAAAGTACTATGCCATTTTGATATTTCTTGCTAGTTCATGAAACTATGACCGCTGACTATACCTTTATTTTTACATATTTGTTCTCAAAATATTCATTATGCTTTCAGAAATGAGGGCAACATGGAGAATGCATGCTGCTTAAAATAATAAAACTATACATCATTATCTTTTTGTGACAAACAGCATTGTCTTAGGTGCTGGAGATACAAAAAGGGCAATGAATTCTGGCTCTCGAGAGGTTTACAATCTTATTGGAGGAAGAAGAATTTAATCAGCGGTATAAAAAGCAAATATGTAAGAACCCTACTCTAACTCACATTATCCTATAACCAGGTATCTCAATCCATCAAATGTAAAAATCTCTTCAATTCAAAAGAATAAAGTCCAAACTGAATGAGGATCAAGAAAATAAACCGTTGGAAAACTGTGCGAGCACAATTTTGAAGCAAATAAATGGTTTCCAAGGAAAAATATTTTCAAATAATAGGAAGTACCATGATGTCATTAATAAAAACTTTGAGAAAACCTTTTCAGCTATCCCCAGAATGTTATTTTTTTCATTGTATAATTAACTGGACTTGCTAATATGCTATGTATCTAGAGTTAATATTTTAAAAAAGAAAGATAATAGGGTCTTCTACAAATTAAGTTTTAATAATAGCTCGGGATTTGAAATTTCCAGCATAGTTCCTTCCTAAGAATGGGGCAAATATTGACCCTTATAATTAGTCTTAATAATTTATTTAGATTATAATGTCTGGATAGTGGATCTATGATAGATATGTCATACCCTACAAGTCTGTTTCATTCTCTTTTATGACCCAAAAGCAAATTCCAGTCTTCAACAGATTGTTCCTTGGGCAACGGCAGGCTGTCCTTTCTCATGGCTGAATAGTATTCCGTTGTGTGTGTGTATGTATATATCTTACAACTTCTTTATCCATTCATCTGTTGACGGGTACAGTTAGCACCGTGGTTAAGAGCACTAACTACGTAAACTTAGGCAGGTTCCTTAGCTGTCTTAGCTTGATTCACTACCCCTGAAAGAAGCAACTCTGAGAACATTTATTAACTGGCATTTTGTTTCTGAGCCCTTCTCTTTGCCTTCTCATTCCCTGAAATAGCTATCTGAGATATTTTTTTTCTAACTGTTAATTATATAGTTACTTTTTAAGGTAAAGGGATTCGCTCTATTTTAAAATGTTGTTTTCCCTCTTTTAAGACATCACCACTCAAGAGATGACAACAACTGTTCAAGAAGCAGATGCCACTTTATCATTGGTGACACAAGAGCAGCAGGTTTCTACCCTTGAAGTTACCAGAGAAAATGGCGAGACTGAGGAAGGAAGAGAGTCCTCCTCTGGCGCATCTGATGTTCCCAGTGTTACTCAGCTGCTGAGGAGATGGGAGCCTCTGGCCACTACAGTTTCCACTACAGCTGTGCCTCTGTCTTTCGAAGTTACTCCCACCGTGGAAGGTCTGTAAGGGAGGGAATCGGCCTCAGCGTTTTGGGGGTGAATTTTTTCTGTGAGTTGATCAGCAATAGAATGAGTGAGGCGGATGGCCCTGGTACCAAGGCACATGCACACACCTTACCTGGAGAGTGAACAGGAAAGGTAGGGGAACTCTTCTTTGGAGATATGTCACACAGCCTAAAAGGATAAGGGGCTAGTTCCTAAGAAAAATTTCCCAGTGGCTTATCTCTGGGGCCCAGGAAGGCCAGACCTCACCTTCTGAGAACTCTCTCCTAGTTTGAGGGCTCTGGCTGCTAGGAGTCACGGGGTGAGGTGAAAAGAGCAAGGACCTGGCTTTGCATCCCAGCTTTGGCTCTCACTAGTATTGTGGCCTCAAGCAAGTTCCTTAATGTCTCCAAGCCTTAGTTTGTTCATCTCTAAATAATGCCTACCTGTCAGTGAAGTTTTCAAATCTGAGTGATCATCAGAATCACCTGGGAATTTTTAAAAATTATTATTTAATTTTTATTTTTGGAGCTCACGTGTCTGCCTCATCATTGATCTAGGTGAAATGCACTTTTATTTATTAACTGAGTTATTTTTAACAATGTAATAAATACCTTCTAACCCTGCCCTTCCCAAAGCCCTAGGGACTTGTCAATAACTTATATCTAACCCCTTGACTCTTCCTTTCTCAACCCCTTCCTTCTCTGACTGTTATTATCATTCTGAATCTGGTGTGCATCATTTCCTTGACTTCCTTTTCTTTTCATTTTATTGCATCTATATTTACTCTTAAAATTATACATTAAAAATTTTTAGTTGTTTTTAATTTTATAAAGAGAATATTGTCCTGTAGATAGCCTTTTTTGGACTTACTTTTTTAATTTAGTATTATATGGCTATGATTTACTTACCATAGCTCTTTTGTTTTGACTGCTCATAATATTCCATTATGAAAATATTTCATAGTTTATGCATCCAATCTTCATCAGTCTCTCTTAGTGATTTGCATTTGGGTCATTTTCAGGTTTGGCTATTGTGAACATTGCTTCTATGAGCATCCTTTTTCATATTCCCCATTGTACATGTGTAGGAATTTCTCTTGGGTATATACCTAGGAACTGAATTACTGAGCTATACGGTATATGAATGTTTGACTTTAGGAGACAATGCCTAATTATTTTTCAAAGTGGTTGTACCAACTCTTACTTCCAACTTATACTTTCAAAGTGGTTACAATGTATATGAGACTCTGTGGATCCATATCCTGGGAACTTTAAAAAATATTTTCTCAGTCTCACTACCAAGAAGGCTCTGATTTAGTAAATTGGAATATGTGAAAAACATGATATCAACATTAAAAAAAATTACCAGAAGAAATTCTGATGTCCAACCAGGCTTGCAGTATACTACTATCCTAGAATTTTTGGATTTGGAAGTACCTGGGGCTAAGTTTGGCTGCTTTAAAATTGAACATATTCGAGACAGAGATCTAGGCTCTTACTCTTCTACTTGATTTTTAAAGATAGTCTTTGGCATATAGTTTAATAAATTTTTGTTAAATTTTCTAAATTTGGTAATAAATTATATATATAAAACCCTGCAAAATATATAATATTGTCAATAGAATAAATGGGAAATTAAAATTTAAAAACAAAGTCCTTATTTGAGACAATATATTTTCCTGGAAGATCAAGTGTTTGCCTTGTGTAGTTGGACTGATGTGATATGGGGGAGGGGAGCTGGTCTAAGTGGCAAACTCACCATGTATAAGGTATTGGTTCCATTAATCGTTTCTTGCTTAAAAATGAAAAGCACATGTGTACATCTCCCATAACGATCAGCTTTGCATCAAGTCCTGTCTCTTTTGTTTGGCAGACCTAATGGACACAGTCACTGGGCCAAATGAGGATTTTTTCACACCAATTTTGGGCTCTCCAGTGACACCCCCTGGAATAATGGAGGAGGCACCCAGCATTTCCCCAGCATTTCCTGATTCTGAGGCATCCTCTGAGAGAAGAACCGTTGTTCCATCCATTAGCCATGTGACTACAGCTGCCTCATATGGCCTGGACCAACTTGAATCTGAAGGTATCCATGCTTAGAAGGGAATCTTTCCTAGGGCTGATTGAGTGAGTCACTGAGCAAAAATATTGTTTTTGATAAAAGATTAAGGAGAAGTGGATACAATCTGCAGTGTAGATCAGGGGTCAGTAAACTATGTCCTGGCCAAATCTGGCCTGCCATCTGTTTTTGTATGGCCTGCAAATGAAGAATGGTCTCTGTGTTTTTAAATAATTGAAAAGGAAATAAAAGAAGAAAAATATTTTGTGACATGGACACGTTATATGACGTTCAAATTTCAGTGTACATAAATAAAGTTTTATTGGAATACAGCCACACTTTTTTATTTATATAGTGTCTGTGGCTACTTTTGTGCCAGAGAAGCAGAGTTGAGTAGTTGTGACAAAGACCAAGTGCTCACAAAGCCTAAAATATTTACGATATGGCCCTTTACTGAAAAAAGCTTATTGACCTCTGGCCTAGATTAGTAGTTCTCAACTACACTTGAACATTAAAATCATCTTGGGGATCTTTTAGAAAACCCTAATGCTTGAGTCGTCCCAGCAATTCTGATGCAGTTGGCATGGAATAGAGTCTGGTATCAACATTTTAAAAGAGTGCTTTAGATGAATTCAATATGCAGGCTAGGTTGAGAATACTAGTTTAAATGGAAAACTTGAGTCTCCCCACCAGATTTTCTTGGGTGAAAGTTTTAATGTGGATTGTATTTTCATAACAATACTCTGGTTGTTAATGATGGGTTATTCTCCCTTATTAACATCTGTGGGTTAGTATGTTTCACTGTTTGGAGATAAACAATCTCCTTACCTGTTAAGACTGAGAAATTCATGCCAAATTTCCTTTCCAAGAGATTGGCTTTGAGCATGAAAAAGATGCTTGGAGCACAGCTGCACAAACAGGAATACTGGAAATATGAAAAAAGGTCATTTAATTGATCAGCATTTTGGCAGGTGAACAGCTCCTGGCTAGAGGTGCAAAATGTCCAGAGATTTGTAGTGCTGAGTTTCTTAAACTAATCTGGAAGACAGGTAGGCTTTGGGGTACTAAGTTAGCCATGTTTTTGATGCAGTGAAGACAGAATGTGCTGTTATTTTATATTTTGTCTACTCTACAGCATGGAAGGTGGTTCAGCCAGGCTTGCAGCAGACTCTGTTGCAGACTTTCAGGGTAACACTGTGGTTTTCTGACAGAGAAATATGACATTTTAAGAACAGATTGGAGAATTCCATAGTAGAATGCTGGTTTAAGAAAGGGATCAAAGTGAACTCAGAGGCTCACAGCTCTTGCACTCCACATTAAAACAAAAAATCATGTGACTTTGAATTTAGTTTCATATTAACTGTCTGCTCTTCTTGATGCCATCTGGAAAAAGCAGGTTTCCCCAAATTAACCTGAATTAGAGATGACATCTTTACCAAGCAGGGCTCATTAAATCAGAGAAAAAAAATTGTATTTGTGAATAATCCATATTTGTGAAACTGCAATAATTTTCTAAATTTAGTAGATGATGGCAGTTGTATTGAAATATGTTAGAATTTTTTTAACTTGCCTAAGATGTCCTAAGTTTTAGTTTTTCTATACAATTCAATTTCAGCTTCTTTTTGAGAATATGTTTTGTCAGTTTTTGATCTAAGTTATGATCCTTGTCAAAGCTTAGAAAAGACATTTCTGGTCTGAAAATATTCTTTCTGCTACGTTGTTGGGCTTAAGACAAGATTTTGAAGGAGCACACCTTTTCTCCTAAATACCAGAGAGTACAATTTATATTTAATTAGTATACGTTAGTAATTCACACTTTTATGCTTATGCATGTAATCTTCTGAAAGCTGAAGTGACTACACTTATTGGAACCTATAAACCTACTAGATTCCTGGTTGTGTTGGAAGCCTCCATTTCCAATGTATGTTTTTTCACCTTGCCTAGAAATATAAGTGCAGTTTGAGGCTTTGACTGAGTGAAGCATTTTAATCCTATCATAGGATTATACGCAGAGAAAGATAATTTATTCTTACCTAGAACAGTGAGTTGTACTATGTCAAGTTACTACCTGTAATGTATTGACAAATGACATACAATTCTCCACTTTAAGATGTGTGTTTATTTAATTACATTATTGAACTCCTCATATGTTATTTTAATATATTCCTTTCCACTGGGGGACAGGAGTACTTCTACAGAGAGTGAGGTATTTTTCTCAATGGGATATGGGCAAGAAACCTGCCCTTATTGGATGCCAGATACCCAAGGAGCAAGAGCTTTTGTGAAAATTTCTGAATATTTATCCTTTAAGGAATAATGAATGACCCAAATGAACCAAAACACTGTATATGCCTGACACACTGTCTTCTTCTCTCCTTCTCTATGTCTCTACAGCATAATAACTGAGGGACTGTATTAGTTTCCTAGGGCTGCCATATCAAAGTAAAGTACCACAAACTGGAGAGTCACGCAACAGAAATTTATCTTCTTGCAGTTTTGGAGCCTAGAATCAAGGTGTAGGCAGGGCCAGGCTCTCTCCAAAGCCTCTAGGAGAATAGTCCCTTGCCTCTTCCAGCTTCCAGTGGCCTCAGGTATTCCTTGGCTTGTGGCACATAACTACAGTCTCTCTCCATCTTCACATGGCTGTATTCCCTGTCTGTGTCTCTGTTCCTAAATGCCCCTTGTTTTATACCACTGGCTATTGGATTAAGACTTACTCCAATAACTTCATCTTAACGTGATTACATCTGCCAATACCCTATTTCTAAATAGAGTCACATTCACGAGTATCATGGGTTGGGGCCTGAACATTTTTTGGAGTGGACACAATTCAACACATAACAGGGGTCTGCTTCTGAAGAGTTTTCCAGCTAGCTCTGAAGGCAGATGTGCTCTGTCTCTAGAACACCCACTTAAGAGCTGTGCATTGGTAGAGAGGGAGAAGTTTTAGAGTGTTTTAGATTTCTTAGTCACTGAAGAAAGCCTGTCTATAAATGTGTAATTGCCGTATGCCTATTTCAGTAAGTCTTTTACCTTGTCAGCAAAAATGCAGTTTGATTTTTGAAGGGATAATGGTTTACCTGTCACCTTGCCTGATACATTTTACTTTGCTGTATTTTTTGTTTTTAGGGACTCAATGTTTTCAGGATGACAAGAAATGCATTATACTTATCTCAGGCACAACTCTACCAGGGTTGTATCAGCATCTTTGACATATAAACATGACAAAAGTGTTGTAATTTTTTATTCAAAATAGGATAATGTAAATTACATATATATAACTACATAAACTAATTCTTAGATATGATCTCTGTAGAGGTCGGTATTCTTTTTTTCTTGTTGAATAGTAATGTCTTTCTCTGCTCCAAAATGGTAACGTAAAATTTCTGATTACTTATGAAAACTTACTTGTAATGTTTTCATTTGGGTTAACTGTCTGATATAAGTATAAAATATTTTAATAGTTATATCAAATGAACTAGGACTGTCAATATTTCTTACTTAAAGAAGTTCTGCTTTCTGTATTTTAGAAATCCAACTGAGGATATCTATTTACTCTAAATAAATCAAACTTTTTTAAGCCTTTTCTCTATTCCTACAGAAGATGGCAATTCATCTGTGCTGTAAAATTGTAACAATTTCGTAGGGTAGAAAGTTATTACTTTAACAATACAATATTCAGGAAAAGCTTTATTGTGAATCTCTTTGTATCTGGTACTATGTTTCTAAGAACATGTGGGAGACAAGAGTACAAAAGCAGAGGTTGCTCAGATTTTGTGATTAAGGTTTTGGTAATCCTTCCTTATACTTCAGCACTTCCTCTCTTAATGTTTGAAAGTCAATGTCTGGGCCTTCCAGCTAGTGGGAAATGAGAAAGCACTTGGTGCTCGCTATGGTGCTGACCAGAAGACCAGACAGACTTGAAAACAGTGAATTTACTTGGACTCTCCTAAGACAACTCTGGTTAGCTTATCGCTCTTCTGCAAGAGAAGAAATACTAGTGTCTCTATTCTGAAGAAGGTGAATTCTTGATCTGACTGGTCCTATTTAATAACTTTCTGAGTCTTGGGGCTGTATATATATAATCCAGTGCCATTATCTTAGATAATTACCATTTTTTTTTTCATTTCTTTCAAAAGGCCCATTTATTACCAGCTTTATGGAACAAATCTACAATAATTGACTTGCTGGAGAATTACCTTTTTAAACCATATAATGTATGTTATATGTAAGCATTTAACAAAGACCCTTTTAACATATAACAAGATTTTTAATTCCTAGCATCCAACAGAAAAGTCATGTTTGACTTTTTAAAATATCTTGGTTTTAAAAAACATAAGAACGAATATATCATTTACATTCATTTTTTTCCTTTCTGACTTTTTTTCTTGTTTTTCTAAGACCATTTTGGATGTCCTTATATTTATGTTTTTAAAAACTGCGTTTTTGATGTCTTTTTCCAGCCAGGCAGCACATATAGGGCAGAAGCTGTCATTATTTTGTCATTTGTTGTTTAATCTATTTCAGTGACATTCACTTTTCTGTTTTTGTGAGTGTGTGTCTGTGTGTATGTGCACATCTGTGTGTATGCATGCATGTGTGTGTATATGTGTATATTTAATTTCATGAATGTTTTCTACAGTCCTCCAAGAGCATTTCCAATATATATTTGCAGCACCTCTTAATTTCCTTTGCTGAAGAGATAGTGGTGTTATCTTTCCTTTCTTATCTGGAATTCTCAATTCTGTCTCTGTCCTAGGGATTCTCTCTACTGATAACATAGGAATTTCAAGAGAAATTCTTATTTGAAAAGTATGCTTTCATTTAGATGACTGATATTTTTAGCCGTGTGGTGGCCTCATAGTTGGTATTGAAGTAACATGCTTTGTCTCTTTCTTTATTGGTCAATTAGAAATGAATTGGGGAATGTATTCTTTAAATGGCATCATGGAGAAGTCTCAGAGATAGTTTTCTTCAATAGTGCCACCGAGGATACTTTAGAGCTCATGTAACTTTTATGAGAGAAA